CTCAGAGCACCAGCGTGAATGTTTGGATTTTTTTGGTAATCCTCATCTGAGGATATTTTGAGAGAGAGTGCAAGTGAAAGGGGAGAGGAAGAGAGAGATTGAGAGTGATATCAATGTGAGAAAGAAGAAAAATTAGATGCCTCCTACATCCCCACATGGGCTGGGATCAAACCTGCAAATTAGAACCACAAAGTCATGCAGCCTTTCTTTCAATGCACTATAAGTCAATATTGGTCAAAGAGTGATTTTCTGGCATTATGCTGTCCCTCCGAAAGCATAGACATGTTGGGATTCACACAGTATCTGTTAACTCTACGATGTTAGATCATAATTATTCTTGACAATCATACGTGGAATTGAATATAACCAGGACAATTAAGGGTACAAAAGAAAAAACACCTTTACTAAAAGATCACAAACCAGACAGAGCACAGCAAGCGGTTCGCAGGTTGGTGAATCAGAACCTGGAACAATTCATCACAGCATAATGTGAGAAGCACATGTGCCTGAAAGAGGCAGCACTTCTTAGCTGAGGATGGGTGCCCTGGATGAACCCTGGGTCAGGTGTATTACCTCCATAGAGAGAAAGGAATGAAGATCCTGTCAGGAGCTGGAATAATCATAATGTTCTCAAGCACAAGTGAGAACACAGAATACATGTCCCCTGAGCACACAAGTGTTGGGACTGATACACAGTCTTCAGATGAGCCAGGTGGTAGAGGGGAAACCTCTTCAGCCACAAATTAATCTGGTGTTAGATCTGGGCATGTTACCAAGTGCAATGCACCTCCTTCAAGCCTCAGTTGTATTGGAAACTTGTGAGGAATCTAGCAGAGTGTATGTGCCATTAAAAGGGTTTCAATTCAGCCCTAACCAGTTTGGCTCAGTGGATAGAGCGTCAGCCTACATACTCAAGGGTCCCAGGTTCGATTCCAGTCAAGGGCATGTACCTTGGTGGCGGGCACATCCCCAGTAGGAGGTGTGCGGGAGGCAGCTGATAGATGTTTCTGACTCTCTATCCCTCTCCCTTCCTCTCTGTAAAAAATCAATAAAATATATTTTTTTAAAAAAAGGAGGGGAGGTTTCAATTCAGGAAAATAGGTCCCAAAGAGTCACCTTCAGTGTTACTATTCTAAGTGAATAAAATAAAACATTTCCTGCACATTTAACACTTCTCTCCACTGTGAACTCTCAGATGTTTAATAAGACTAGATTTTTGGCAAAAAGACTTCCCACATTCAGTACACTCATATGGCTTCTCTCCAGTGTGAACTCTCTGGTGTTTAATGAGTGTACTTCTTGCACTGAAGGACTTCCCACATTAACTTTCAGATGTTCAATAAGATTTGATTTTTGGCTAAAAGACTTCCCACATTCACTACACTCATATGGCTTCTCTCCAGTGTGAACTCGGTGGTGCCTTGTGAGGTGAGCTCTCAGACGAAAGGAAACCCCACATTCACGACACTCATACAGCTGTTCTCCAGTGTGAACTCTCTTATGTTGAATGAGGTTAAAGATTCGTCTAAACACTTCCCTACATTTGTCACACTCAAAAACTACTTCTCCAGAAAATGCACTCTGACATTTAACATCTTTCAGGTTGTGGCTGACAGCATTTTCACAGTCACCCCACTGGTGATGACTTTTTCCATCAAGAAATTCCTGTGAAATCTCACTGCCACAGTGTAGCTCCTCAGTCTTAAGAGTAGCCTGGTGCTGGGGAAGCTCTGAGTTGGATTGCAAGTCTTTGGCAACCTCCCTCCTGGTTGAAGTCACCAAAGAAAAGGAGAAGCTGCACCTGTTCACACAGGAGGCCCTGTCCATAGCTTGTTTCCAGGGCTCCTCTCCACATTCATTCCTCTGTTGCTGGTGAGGGTTTGCACTGAAACAGAAGTCTCCAACACACACATCAGTACAGAAGGCTTTCTGCGCAAAGTCTGCTGCATGTGACCCAGCCAGGTGCAAAATATGTTGCAACACAGAGAAACACCGCTTACAAAGAAAGGTCTTCTGGGTGGCTGCAGCTGTCTTAGAAGCCCTAACCTGTGACTCTCCTTGTATGTATACACTCTGATCAGAACAGGCCTCCTCATCTTCCATTTTATGCCAACAACCTGAAAAGTGAGAAATGGTGAGGAAATGAATGTTGATTGTGTGACGGGGGAAGTCCCATTGCAAAAGTGTGTTATGCATCACACGTTGGTTCCATGCAATTGTCTGAAAATAAGTGATGTGCAGGAAGGATTAATAAGAGGCTCTTGTAACTTTCTGGGCTAATGATGATCACAAAATAGGGAGGCCTCAGGAGAAATATGACACAACAATGCAAGCACCACATGGATTAGAATATGGATCTCCAGATAATCCTTCAACTAACAGCATTCAGCATGGCTTGTCTGCTGGGGACTGGGGTGAGCTGTGCAAGAGGTTGGTTCCCTCTTACTCCAAGTAAAATTCAATAAAGGAGTAGCTGGTGTTGAGGACTACTTAGTACGTATGTGCACCTCATAACACATGTGCATGTCAATGTTTCAGAATACTGCAGAGGCAGAAATGCAAAGGAACAGGTGATACAGAAGTGAGCAGTCAGCACTGGGTAAGACCAACATCATTTGCTATAGTATTCAGGGAAGAAAATATTACTAACAACTGAATGAGGGCCTTACAAGAAAAGCCCATGGTTCATGTATGTAAAGACTATAACATGGCACAAGCTGCCACAAAGAACCCTTACCTAGAGAAGGAGTGCAGAAGTTGAAGTCATGCATGTGGACACTGTCAGCCTCCCATGAAGAGAAAGTGCAAGCTGGGACCCACTGAGCTCACTGCAAGATTCCTGACTTTCTGTTACCTATACTTTTTGAGGTGATAGGGATGTTCCTGGAGTCCTTTGCTCAGGGCTCCCCATCCAGTTCATCCCTGGCAGCCACAGCACATTTTACAGAACAGTGGGGAAAGTAACAGAGGCCATGTCTGGCTCTGGGAGAGAGAAAGCTATGGCTGAGGAATAAAGGAAGTGAGGTCATCACCTCAGGAAACTAGGAGAATGTGAAGGTCTTACCTATAGATGATACAACTGCAAAAACTTCCAGCATCACATCACAGTACAGAAGTCTCTGAGCCTCATCAAGGATCCCCAATTCTTCCTGAGAGAAGGCAATGGCCACGTCCTCAAAGTTCATAACCTGTCATAATGGAGACAGTACATCCCATGATCAGATTCACTCCTAAGTTTATAAGTCTGTCATACTCCCCACTCTCCACACCCATCTTTTCTTTCCATTCTTTATATTATGTTAAATACCAGGCTTTCATCCTATGAAAGCCACTGTCTTCTTATATTTCTGCTGATAGTTTCTTCCCACAATTAAGACAGTTGAGCAGATAGAAGATACCTGAGCTCTGGAACTCCCATGTATACCACACTGCCTCTTATCAATAGAGTGGGTGTCAAAAACATAGGTTAGAGAGGGATGTTGACGATAAAAATAGTGTGAGTGATTTAATACTGGTCTCTTCAAGAAATAGACTTGTCCTTCTGATTGTTCCTCTAAGACATCAAAAACATGGCATCACACTGCATTGCTTGATCCCAATCCCAAGGTATGAGGCCATTGCTTTGCACTACCTGCTGCACATAGTTCTTTGAACAACACTTCTCTCACACAGCTTCTTTCCCAGAGGCACAACATCAAAGGTAATGCAAATTTTCCATGGTGTGGATAATTTTTTTCCTAATCACCTTCTTTTCCAAAAAGATAGTTCACCACCTCCAAAATCTACTTCTCTCTGACCCTTCTTCCTTACCAATGCAAGTGGAAATTTACAAGCCAGGGTAACACTGATGAATGCTATGTCATTCCCATCAACCAGTGTGTCACTCCCAACAACGAAAGGCAGGTGGTTAGTTAAATGGCACCTAAGATGTAAACCTAGAATGTAGCACCCAAACACTGCGGTGACCCGCACCTCGGAGAGGGTCCGACGGGTAGAGGTGGCGTGGGATGAAATACAAGAGACCATGAGACAGGGTTGAGAGGACTGGCACAAGGCACCAGCAACTTTATTCTTTACACACAATGCTTTATAGCTAAGCTGCGACTGGTCATGCCTCATAGATCACTGCTAGGGCTCGGCCTGTCATAGGGAAGTAACAGATCGTTACAAGCTGGGCAAGACTGGGCAAGCTTTGCCTAGATCTATCTATGTGTGACAGTTACTATGACAATCAGGTTACAGTTACTATGACCATACCTTTAGCTACAGAGGTCATGCCTCGGTCAAGCCTTGTCTAGTTCCACTTTGCTGCAAACTCTAATTAAGCCTCAAACCTTTCCTGAGCTTTGACCTTAAAACCTTCCAGGATCGACATAGGGTAGAGTCCAGGACTTTGCCATGTCCTCTGGTCAGCTTAGACTTTGCCAGCAGCATGATGGTCTGCA